GGCTCTGGGCAGCGCCCAGCTGCGGTGGGGGGATCCCTGAGAAATCCTGCAGGGGGAGTCCCTTTGCAGCCTCAAGGCCACGCTGCCAAGGTGAGAAGGGCTGAGGAGCAGGGCTCCCCTTCACCTGGTCCTGGTGTGGCCGCGGCCGCCCCCACAACAGAGGGCTGAGCTGAGGGGCTGGGGCGGGGCACGGCGGGGCTGATTGCCGCAGACTTTGACGGGGGACAGGGGATAAAATGACCTTGAGCCTCATCTAGGCGCCCCTCTTCTCTGTTACTGCCTCGCCGGCTCCTGCCCCGGGGCCTCCGACTCACAGGCCTCCTGGAGCCGCTGCCCCACGAGGACTGGGGAGCGAGGGAAACGCCAATCCTCCGTCTGCACCTCCCACCCTTCAGACTACAAGCCAGCCTCCCGTCATAAGGACAACAGTGCCACGGACCACGTTCCTGCGCGAAGCCCTGGGTGACAGTGCAGTCGAACTGATTCTTCCCTAAATCGTCACTGGGAGCGGACAGCCCTCACGCGGCCCTGACCTTACCGGCTGTCCGGAACCCCTGTCCCCGTTGCCTGAGAGCAGTGCCAGGCTGTCCCCGGGCCTGGCCGTGCAGGAGCCTCCCCCGGTCTGTTCGACGGACCCCTGCAGGCCGGCCCTCGCTGACCACCCCATGTCCTCCCCTCTGCCAGCTCCGCACCTGGACCAGTCCATCTGCATCTCCAGCTCCGGAGGCCCAGCAGCACAGACGCTGCCGACTCAGGTGGCGCGGGTGGTGCAGGGACCTGCCTGCCCCCCGGGAGGACACCTGGGGCCTCGCCGCCCGCACTGGGAAGCCGAGGGACAGCGGGACAGAGCCCGGTGGTCCTTCTTTCCCTGGATGCAACGCACAGTCCCCACGTAAAGGCAATTTTTTTTTTTTTCACTTCAAAGGGATTCCAGCTGCTTAAATTCAAGGTGAAGAATAAGCCTCAGTCTAGCTATTGTAGAAGCTTTCCGTTCTCATTGGCTCGAGAAGGGATGCGTTTTAAGACGTTTGCCTCTTGCTGTTTGTCAAACTGCCGGGGGAGAGAGCCTCCTCTCCCTTCAGCACCTTCCTCGGCCCCCGGTGCTGTTGGCACGGGGACCGGCCCTGTCTCCCTGCGTCACGTTGCCTCTCAGGAACCCTCCTGACCTCCTCGCTCCCCCTGCCTCCCACTCCCCACCCCTCAGCCGCCCCCACCTGCGTGTGAGAGACATGAACGCTGGTCTGGGGTCCCCCAGGCTCAGCAGCTTTCCTTCAGATGACCCAGGACACCCGCGGGGCTCACAGGTCTCACAGCTCACACCCCACCTGCCATTCATTCATTTGTCCATTCACTCATTCATTCATTTTATTCGTTCATTCACCCATTCCTTCAGCCACTTGCTCACCCAGTCAGCCAACACGGGGCCGGCGATGCTGCTAGGGGCTGTGGGTGCTTCAAAGAAATACAACACATGGTCCCGTTATCAATTGGCTGAAGCTGCGCACATACAACCGCCATACAAAACAGAAGGAAGTAAACTCTGGGTTTGGAGAGCAGAGGACATTAAGAAGGCTCAGAGACAGAAGAGATCAGCTGGGAATGGGGGTGGGTCCCAGAGAGAGGGAGGGGGGCAGTCAGAAAGGCTTCTCGGAGGAGGAAGCATGTCGGTGGAAGCAGGGTATCCCAGTGTGGAGGGTCCAAATATGGGGAGTGCCCAAGCAAAGGTATGGGGGCACAAGCCCCCTGGTGGGCACAGAGGCTCTCTCCTGTGCCCACCGCAAGCCTCTCCAGGGCCTCAGGGGTGTGTTTGTGTATGTGTGTGTGTGTGTGTGTGTAGAGGGGTGACGGGACGGGGGAGGAGGGGAGGGCTGTAAAGTCCACTGACGTTCGCTGCTTTGGTGGCATTGCTTTAGTCACCTTTTACGGAAGGCATGGTCCCCACACAGCCCTTCCCATCAGGCCCTGGCCCAGAGGACATTCCTTCAGCCTCTTCTGGGACTCAGCTCTCCTCCCCGGCTTTGGAGAGCCCTATTTCCCCTCCAGCGTTCCTGGCCTGTCTCCACCTCCTGTCCACCGCCCTCCTCAGAGCCACTGCCCTTCCTGTCCCAGGAACGCATCCTCTCAGCAAGCCCTCCCCGCTGTGCCAGCACCCCGGAGTCTCCCTCCCCTCCCCCCAGAGGCCCTGCTGGTGGTCCGGGGGCCACGCCTCTGGAAGCGGGCAGACCTGGTTTACTCCTGGCTCTGCCAGGGCCTGCGTCCTTCCTCCTGCAGGAACTTTCCTTACTTTTCCAACCCCACACTTTCCCTGCGGGTGAGCAGCACCTTGCTCTCCTCTGGGGGAGCACCCCTTCTGCTTTCTGCCCTCAGAGGTTCAGTTTGGTTCAGGGATGGGCGTGCTATCCAAGTGGCACAAACCCTGGGACTTTTCATGGCTGGAAAGGGTCAGTCTACTCCCACTCGGATTGGTGAGCTGGTAAAACACAAATCGGAAGCTGCTGAGGGTGATCTTTGTCATCGCAGGAAAGTCTTTTTACACACAAAACCAGCACAGAAAAAAAAAAAAAATAGAGAAAAGGAACAGTAGATAGAGCCATAGTGATGTTGTTTGAGCACCTGGATACAGCAACGCCTGCAGTCATCCCTGGAGTCTTCAGTTTGTGAGCCAGTAATGCCTTCCTTTCTCTTTTTTTCTTTTTCTTTCTTTCTTTCTTTTTTATATATATATATATTTTTCTCAAACTAGTTTCAGTTGTTTCTTGTCATTTGCCACTAATAATCTCAATTAAAGAAAAATGTAACTTGCAGACTTGAGGAGACATTAGATGACATGACACATGAACGGCACTCAGCACCAAGTGGGTTCCATCTGGTGAATGGTGGCTTTGGGTAAGTCTAACTCAGTGGTCGGCAAACTCCTTAGTCAACAGAGCCAAATATCAACAGTACAACGATTGAAATTTTTTTGAGAGCCAAATTTTTAAAGCTTAAACTTCTTCTAGCGCCACTTCTTCAAAATAGACTCGCCCGGGTCATGGTATCTTGTGGAAAAGAGCCACACTCAAGGGGCCAAAGAGCCACATGTGGGTCGAGAGCCACAGTTTGCCGACCACAAGTCTAACTCAACCTGCTTTCTCGAAGGTCAAATTTCCACAGTGTGTAGTTCTAACGTGTAGTCGCACAAAACTACGTTTTCTTTCCTCCCACCACTTCGACCAGACTCACTCTGAAATCTCTGCCCTCCTTGGCTTTCTTAACCACAGCTCTGTGTCCTTCCTAAAGGCCCAGGCGTTCTTCCTCGTCCCACCTCAGGGAGGAGGCGGGAGGGGAGACCCCAGAATCCAGAGGGAGTAACACCCTCTCTAGTCAAGCGCCCAGAATCCAGGATAGTCAGCATCAACTGAATCCAATCAAATGCAGACTTTCCAAACTTGCTTTAAACTTGTCCCTCCCAGGACACCGGTACTCAGAAAAGTCTCTGCTGCCATCTAGTGGACATCCGCAGCAATAACATGTCTAAGCAACTGAGAATCCTTGCTGGGGCAGTTACTTAATCATCGGGTCCAACCTCCTCCCTCCTTCAGTGGCAATGCGAGGATGAGCGGATTAGTGGCGAGCTGAGAGTCCTCTCCCACCGGCGACATTGCACTCTTCTGCTCCCACCCTACTTCTTCACCCTCCATCCCGTCCCATGATTTAGATCGCAGTTACCATTTCCCCTGCCCCTCCCGCCTGCCTGTGGCGTGACCCAGGCCAAGGGTCTCCAGGGGGGAGGGGTGACACGTGTGGCTGAGTGTGCCTGCCTGTACAGAGGACTGACTGGGAGGGCAGAGTGGGGGGTGATCTGGAAGGTCTCCTGGTTACTCCCTTGCTCCGTCTCCCAGCGGAAAGGATTCTCGTCACCTTTGCAAACACGATAGCCGATCAGCACCTCGTGCTCCCAGCCTCGGAAACGGTGAGACATGTCACAACCTACTTGGCCCCTGATAGCGAGAAACAGTTCAAGAAAGAAAGAAAAATCTATCCCTCTACCCCTAACTGACCCCACCCTGAACGGACTGTCCTGGCTGACAGAGGGGCAGGCTGCGCTGACAGGTGAGGAGCCCGCGGTGGCCGCTCCCTGCCCCATGCCCAGGAGACCCCAAGGCTGGCCTTGGTGCCCCCGCGGTCCGGTCCTGACCATGGCCCTCGGTCCCCACCCGTTCCTGGCCTGGGCCCTGGACACGGCGGTCCTTGTCCCCGGGTGGACACCGGCGCCTCCCGCTGAAATGAAGCATACGGTGAAGGTCACCTTTCACCTCCGATGCTCTGGGGCTCGGCCTGGCCCGGGAGTCAAGGAGGAAGTGAACGGTGCCCAGAAGCCGGGAGCGGCTCCCCCCAGCCATGGCCTGGACACCGAGAGCGGCAGCCGCATCCCACTTCCCGGCCCGGTGGCCCTTCCCCAAACCAGGGGAACCTTCCAGAACAACGCGGTGCTAATCATTTCCCAGTAAGAGGCGCAGTCACCTCCAATTCCTGCAGTGCTCCCATCTTCTGTGTTAGGCAACTGGGGGTGAACTTCTGAGCGTGCTTCCCATTGTGGTAACCGAGTCAGGGCACGTGGACCCCGCTGTTCAGCCTGCACCGGACGTGCTGCCTTCACACACCCGCCCCTCCCCAGGCGGAGGGGCGTTCTGAAAGTCCAGGCCCCTTGCGCCTCGAGAACCAACTCCCCACACCCTCCCTCTCCTCCTTTTCTCTGCAGACTCCAAAGCATGCACCAGCTGGTCCCCACGACCGAGGGGCCAGGCTGGGGGCTCGGGGGCTGCAGATGCAGGGAAGGGCCCAGGGCAGATGGCCCCCGAGTCCCCGACCAAGCTCTCCCAACCTGCAACACACCCAACCTTCTCCTTGCTAACCATCGGTTACCACCAGCCCCAGCCCAGATGGCTCTGCACACAGTTTCCGGTCACCCAGAGAAGCAGGCTCCTCCTCCAGGCTAGGCCTGCTCACTCACCTCAGAGGCCATCGGGTACTTGACCATCGGCTGGGACCAGGTGGTGATCTTCTTTCTGTAGCCGTTGCAGCTAGGAATAACCTTGCAGTCGATGTTCCCCACCTCTGGGTAGGTAACTTCAAGGCCGCTACAGAGAGAGAGAGAGAGAGAGAGAGAGGTGAATGTCAGGGCTTTAGGAAGCCTGGGGTATATAAGGGTTCTGTCTAACACTGTTGGGAACTGTATAATCAAGTGGGATTGAATCTGTGTGGCCTAAGAGGTGCTTGACTTCTTGGTGCCTCAGTTTATTCACCTGTAAAATGGAGACACTAACGGAATCTATGTACAGGTTGCCTTGAGGGGTAAAGTAAGGGATCCATGCAGAGCAGTCAGAAAGTGTTAGCTATCGTCAGTGTCTTCTCCTCAAAAAAGAACATATATCCCAGGCAAACTAATCAGGGGCCAGGTGTGATCAGTATCTTTAAAGTACGACTATAAGAATCGCTTTTTTTTTTAATTTTTTAATATATTTTATTGATTTCCTACAGAGAGGAAGGGAGAGAGATAGAGAGCTAGAAACGTCGATGAGAGAGAAACATCGACCAGCTGCCTCTTGCACACCCCCTACTGGGGATGTGCCCGCAACCAATGTACATGCCCTTGCCCGGAATCAAACCTGGGATCTTTCAGTCTGCAGACCGACGCTCTACCACTGAGCCAAACAGGCTTCCGCAAGAATCGCATTTAAACATTGCTTTTGGGGAATGTTTTTATTACATAAAGAAACACTTAGCAAATTCACACCGCCTTCTTCGTGGCACAATCTGTGTTCTCCCCTTACAATTAAGATCCTCTCACTGTTTGGAATCCCGCCACTTAAACAATCCACTTCTTTGGGTTAGATATTGCCCGTACCTTGGCCTACTATTCATTGCACTATCAAAATGCAGCCGAAACCGGTTTGGCTCAGTGGATAGAGCGTCAGCCTGCGGACTGAAAGGTCCCAGGTTCGATTCCGGTCAAGGGCATATACATTGGTTGCAGGCACATCCCCAGTAGGAGGTGTACAGGAGGCAGCTGGTCGATATTTCTCTTTCATCGATGTTTCTAACTATCCCTCTCTCTTCCTCTCTGTAAAAAATCAATAAAATATATTTTTTCAAAATGCAAACATCTCTCAGGGGGTAAAGTATCTCGTCACTAAGACTGTGCTATGTACTTATTTATCTGCCTTCTCCCTGAGAAGGGTCTGAACAGCGTGAGTGCTCTGGGAACCCGGCTCAGCCGGAGGGCTGATCCCACAATGCCACCAGGGGGAGCCTTCAGGGCCTACTTGTGTCTAAAAGTAGGGATGTAAGCCAGGCTTTCAAATCGATTATTTACAAAAACCTCTGGTGCCTTGTTTTCACTTGCTTCTTCCTCCTCGTCCTTCTGTCACTTCTTATCACAAAGACTCGAGGTCTCCCTAGGGTTTGTCAACGGATGGTCATTGGTGCTGATTCAACACTATCAGGAATCCCCAATACGGATTATGGTGGAGGAGGAGACTTCATTCAGTGCAAACAGCTCAGCTGTGACACAGCACGGCTCAACAGGGTGACATCTCAATTAGGAAACAGCATGGCTGTGAGACACTCTTGGGTGTGAGGTGGCATGGCCCCTTTCCAGCTAGACAGCTCTGTTCCACTCGGGAATCTTCCACTCCAGCCAGGGATAAACACGGTCTTCAGTGGAAGAGAGAGTGTGCTCCATGAGTTAGAGGGAAGCTGACTTCCGTGGAGAGAAGTCCCCACCCGTAGCCCCTGATTAATTTGTTCTCATGCAAAAGAGGATTCCAAACCCTCACAATGTGATTGGTCCAAAAAGCATTGTCCTGATTGGTCAGAATGGATCTGCTCGGATTGGTTGGTGAAGATGCTAATGAGGATGTAGCTGTGCAGCTCTCATTGGACAGGAACAATCTCAGTCTTATTGGTTGAAATAAGAGTCAGGGAACTCCTATATAAGGCTGGCTCAGCCGGCAGGAACACAGTGCAGGCAGGCAGCTCGCTGGAGGCTTCTCCCTGAAGTGCGGCTTGCGGCTCCCTGGAAGCTCCTGTGTAGCGGCAGCTGCGAGGCTCTGTTTGTTGGGTTTAGCCCAGTTAGCCACCAGGAACCCCTTTCAAAAGGTACATGAACTCTCTGGTCAGCATTTCACTTGGTTTAGATGACACATTGAGAGAGAAGGTGTGTCCTCGGCCTTGGTAAACAGCCCAGCACGGCTGAGAAGCTCCGCAGCCTGCCACGGTCACCCAGCACTGCCCGTGGCTTTCTGCTGCGCGTGACGCCTGAGGAGGAGGACGGGGTGAAAATGGAATTTGGGTAGTAGAGCTGGAGCGGGAGCTCCTCAAGTTTGAACCTGGGAGAGAGGCAAGGACGACATCCTGGTGAGGAGCCCCACATTCCTCCTCCTGATCCCACCCTTCCAGAGGCTTCTGAGGCCCCCTCTCAGGCAAAGGCAGCTGGAGCTGCAGCACTCGCCAGATGCAAGGTTCTTCCTCAGGCCAGCACCCCGACGCCAGGACGCAGGCCGGCTGAGGCAGGACAGTTCACCACTGAGCTGCACCACCGGCTTGCTGAGCCAACGTGTAACTCTTCACACGTCTACAGCCATTGCTTCTGAATGGTGTGGTTTTAATAGCTTTTGAAGAACTTTCAGAGGACAGGTTTTCATTTGTCTTCGCAGCAGCCTTTCAAGGATCATTTGGTTTGTTTCGACCACCTCCTGCCCCTGCAGCTAGTGAGCACTGAGGCTGAGAGAGAGTCATCACATGGCACTGAACTGGGAAAGGCCAAGAGTCAGGGAGAAGGGGAAACTGAGGACCAGATGGGCCTTCCCCAGGGAATGAACAGGTCTCATTTCTATTCGCATGGAGTTGCTGCAAGTGCTAAAACAGTGACGCAGAATCAGCAGGTTGATATTTGGTTAGTAGGTCTAGCAGTGGTCCTCAAACTTTTTAAAGTGGGGGCCAGATCACGGTCCCTCAGAGAGCTGGAGGGCCGGACTATATGAACTACTAATTCCTACTGTAACACCTCGGCTGCGCTCACTGCCCAAAAAACCTGGCGGGCCGGATCAGACTCCTCTGCGAGCCGCATGTGGCCCGCGGGCCATAGTTTGAAGACGCCTGGTCTAGAGCCTGTGGGCATGCCCTGGCAGGGTATGTATGTGCCAGGGGCCCGGGCACATCACACCCATGGGCACTGCCAGCCGGGTGTGAAGTTCTCCAATCACCACACAGCAGGGCAAGCCGAGGGTCCTGAGGAGCTGCTTTACTAAAGGCTTGGATCAGGACACAGGCAAACTTGGATTGTGAAAGGCCCAACGCTGGTAACTAACCATCCAGATGATCAAACCCGCCTACAAGAAAATCTGGACAAACCTGAGGTGAATTGAGCCAGAAATTAAATCTAGTGAAAACACCCTCGCATTCAAGTTCGAAAACCTCGAAGGGGCTATCTTCCTGCAGGGAGTGCCCACTCCACTCATTTTGTTCCTTACATAGGACAAGTTCCAATCTCCACTCCTGATCTCCTGAGGAGACCAGGGTGCATCCAAGAAAGTTGGGTGAGAGGACCAGGGATTCTGGTCCCGACTTGGCCATTATCTGGCATTACAATAGAGATGGGGTGGGGATTGGGAGAAGGAAGTGTCATTTGTTGGACCACCCTAATAGGTCAGGCGCATTACATATTATCCCATTCATATGTTGAAATCCTAGCCCTTGGCAGGCGGTGCCTCTGAGAGGTGCTTAGGTCATGAGGGTGGAGCCCTCATGAATGGGATTAGTGCCCTTACAAAGCAGATCCCATAGAGATCTCTCTTTCCTTCTGCCCTGTGAGGACACAGCAAGAAGACGGGTGTCTGTGAACCAGGAAGCGGGTCCTCACCCAGACATCAACTTTGCTACAGCTTGATCTTGGACTTTCCAGCCTCCAGAATAGGGGTGTCGAACTCAATCAGAGAAGGGGACAAAATCTAAAATCCAGCCTAAATCACGAGCTGAATGGTTTACTGAACAGTCATAAACTGTCATTGTGATGGAAACGCAGCGGAGTGCAGTGATGACAGCGCGGGCCACATTGCAAGGCCTGGCGGGAAGGATTTGGCCCGAGGGCCTTGTGTTTGACACATGTGCTCCAGAATGCTGAGAAAGAAATTTCTGTAGTTTATAAGCCCACTAGTCTCCGGCAGTTTGTTATAACAGCCCCAAAGGGCTAAGATAGCCCCCCCCCCCGCCCCCCGCCATTACTGGAGATGCTCTGGGCCCTGGGTGGGATCAGCAGCCCAAAGCTGGTGGGGAAAGAGCAGGAGTGCAGAGTCAGGTGAGGGGTTTTAGCCCCATCCTGACACCTGTCAGCTGTGTTGGCACCATGGGAGGGTGATTTAATCTCTGGAGATTCCTCATCTGTGAAATGAGGATGATAATATTTGGAAGATTCATGATAGCCATCAAATGAGTCAGGACATCTAAGGCCCCAGCAGAACTCCTGGCCTGTAACAGGGGCCACCAGCTTCCATCCGGATGCAACACGGAACCGCCTCGGGCAGCTGGGGTGCAGGGCAGCCAACTCCAGTGAGTGCATGCACACACACACACACACACACACACACACACGCATTTCTTGTGCATCCCAGTGTGGGCGCCACGGGGCTAGGGGTGGGACACAGAGGCACTCCACCACTGGCTGTTGCTGCAGCCTGGCCCTGCCTTGCCTGGCCCAGCAGACCTGCCAGCTGGTGGGGCCGTGACTTCTGCCTCCCGGAGGAAGAAGCCTGCCCAGAAGGCTCCGCTCAGCAGAGCACCAGGAGGGCTGGCTCCCTCCCACACGAACCTTCACCCGGAACAGTTCACTAGAGTTTTAAAATGTACTCATAGGAACAGAATATGTTGGGTGTTTTGTTTTTGTTTTTTGTTGTTGTTTTTTTTTTTGGGGGGGGGGGAGGCTTCAACCATCTCTTTAAGGGGAAGGATGTTCTCTTTCGAAAAGCAATGTCTGTGAGAATTCAAATTACACAAGAAGACAGAGTAAGAAGCCTCCTCCCTCCCTCCCTCCCTCCCCCCCTCCCTCCCTCCCTCCCCCCCCTCCCTCCCTCCCTCCCCCCTCCCTCCCTCCCTCCCTCCCTCCCCCCCCTCCCTCCCTCCCTCCCCCCCTCTCTCCCTCCCTCCCTCCCCCCCCTCCCTCCCTCCCTCCCTCCCTCCCTCCCCCCCCCTCCCTCCCTCCCTCCCTCCCTCCCTCCCTCCCTCTCTCTCCTGTTGGTTCATTGGGAAGACAGACTGGCCACAGGGCGGTGGCCACAGGCCTGGGCAGCCCTCAGGATGACCCCCGACAAGGAAGACTGGCTCTTCCAGCCCAGGTTTGTGCGGAGGGAGCTGACGTTCCATGCAGCCGTTGGCGGAGAGAAGCTGTGCCCTTGGAGGAAACACCCAGCCTCGGACGCCCGGCCTCCTCCTGGACAGCAACCAGCGGCCGCTCCCTGGGAAGGCCAGCCTGTCCCAACACCCCTGGGGCCTGTTCCTGAAAAGCAAACAGCCAGCTCTCAAGTTGCCACTCTTCTTTAAAGTGCCCCTCTGACGGGAGAGGGAGCCCTTGGGACTGTAGGGCAGGATGGGCTCTCCGGGTCCTGGCAAGGCGGGCCAGGCCACATCCACACTCCGCCCTGGTCCCCGGAAGCTGCCCTCTGGAAGCAGGGGTCCAGCTCAACGTCCTCTTTCCTCAGGGCCCTCCCGCGTCCCAGGGTCTCCTTCTCTGCCTCTGCAAAGGCTGCCTCAGGAGGAGGTGCTCCTTGTTCTGGAAGCACCTTCCCGAGACCCCGGCCCAGCTGCTCTGGGCTCCCGCCAGCCTTACTTGCAGAGGTCAGTATCCGTGGCATTTACAGGCTCGGGCGCACACGTCATCTGCGGGGATCCGGTGGCCACCATCGCCAGGCCCACAAACAGGGCTGCCGTGGCCAGCCCCATTGTCCAGCCCATGGGCACCTGGAACAGAAGGAGCCTTTAGTGCTGCCAGCCCTCTGCAGGTGGAGCTCTTGCCACCCCCATTCCCCCTGCTTCTACCCCCACCGCCACCCCCCCCCTCCCTCCCACCCTGGCCCTGCCCCAGGGGCCCACCTGGAGGAACAGAGACCCCTAGTGAGCAGCGGGAGAGGATCTGGCAGCTGATTGGCCGGACACAAGTGCTTTGGGAGGACCTAGGCCTACTCCAGGCTGGACTCCATTTGCAGTCCTGGCTGAGGCCCCGGGCGCCTCTGTCAGAACAAGGCTCTGCTGTCACTTGAGCCCTGGCTGCCAGGGCCCAGAGCAGGCTGCAAAGCAGAGGCGCTCAGTGAGCCTCTCAGCTCAGCTCCTCAATCTGCCCTCACCACTTGCCTGTGTGTGGCCGGTTGGCCAAGGGCCAGCCTGCTCCTTGGGCTTTTATGCAAACCCTGGAAGCTGGCGGCGCCAGGCTTCGGGCTGGGGGAGGTTCTGGGGAGCTTGCAGGAGCCTGGCCTTCGTTGTTTTTCTGGGAGCAGGGACCTGGCTGGGCTGGGCTCCCTGGACAGCTCTGCTTTTCTGCCCACAGTTCCTCCGCCACCTGTTTGACAGCCTGGGCTGTCTGGTGTGCTTGGACACAGCCATCTTGTGTAGGAGCTGCTGCACGTGGGGCAGGGCTGACCCAGCCCGAGGCCAGCTTTGAGGGGCCAGCTGAGGACAAAAGGGCTCATCTGACTTCACCTTGCAACAGTGCTGAGCTCAGCACGCTCCCAAAATAACAGTCTCCAGGGAAGAAAGCCAGTAGAGCTAGAAGGAAGCAGCAGCCTGCACCAGCACTGTGCCGGGAGGAAGGGCGTGCACCAGCACTGTGCCGGGAGGAAGGGCGTGCACCAGCACTGTGCCGGGAGGAAGGAGCGCCATGGGCTGAGCCATACTGAACTCTTCCTGGGGAAAGAGGCCTGTGGGAAGGAGTGTGTGGGACTCTGATTGGAACCAGAACTGGCAGGGGAAGATCAAAAGCAGTTCTCCCACGGCCCTTCCAATTGCTCTGTCACTTCTCTGAGACAGGGTGTGGGGGAGTTCACCAGCCCTGAACGGGAGGACTCCTGAGTTCTGCTCTGAGCTGCTCCAGTCTGCTGGGGGCTGGAGTGCCATGCCTCTCTAGCATGCACCATGTCCCCCTTCCAGAAACAAATGATATGACCCGGTGACCCCTGTGCCTTGCTAAGGAATACGAGATCACAACCTTGTAGTATATGCAGCGAGATCTTTAGAGCAACTGTTTTCAGCATAGCTTGCTTTTCAGTTGAATTCCTAACTCCTTTCTTGCTTCCAGCAAGAAATCCTTCTTTGGGGCTACAAACCAAGCACACTTCTTAATAATGAGACTCCCTAAGGGGTGTGACGAGGGCTCCCCCACAGAGAACTCATCCCCAAGAACTTCCCGACTAGAAAGTCTCTCCTGGAAGCCTCCTCACAAGATGGTTGTGAGAATGAAAGGCAATGAACTAGGTTAGGCACTTGGTGAGCTACCTGGCTCAGTCATTTATGGATGGTGTAGCCTTCTTCCACATCCATTCACTTGTTCATTCATTCACAACCCATTTCACCAACAGGTATGGAGTGCCTCCCATGCACTGGGCTTGTGCCAGCCCAAGGCATAGGGTCCCTGTCCTCATGGAGCCCAAGGACAGCCAGAGCCAGTGGACGATGCTGCCAGAACAATCATTCAAGGCCGAGAGGCTCTTGTCTTCAAGTGGCAGCCACTAGAGAAGCAAAGGCTTTCCTGGGTGCCAACAGCCCTTAGCAGCAGCAGTGAATGCCTGTGTGGAGGAGGGGGAGCGACCTCCGTGCAGGGGTGCTCCTGCTGAGCCCTCGCAGATGGGCAATTCCTCCTCACTCAGCACGCTCCAGGCTTTTCTCATTGAATCCTCACGATGAGCCTCTGAACTAAGGGAGACTTGGGTAGTAAGTGGCTCACCTGGGATTTGAACCCAGGCCATTTGACTCAGACTACATGCTCCTTAACCACTCTGCTCTATTGCTCTGCTGCCCCCTCTTGCAGCTCGGCTGTCCTCTCACTTGGTCCCCTTTTATTCCCTTTGCTCTTAGAATCAGGCCAGAATCTCCTACGTAGCCCACACTGCCCTGCTCCGACTGACTCTTCCTGCCTCTCTAGCCCTGTTTCTCTACTATCCACTGCTCACTTCTTGACTCCAGCTATTCCTGCAAGTTCCTTCCTGCTCGGAGGCCTTTCTATGCCCCTCCTTCCACCCCTTTTGATAAATAGCCAAGCTCATTTCCTCAAGAGCAATTTCCTCTGCCCCCCAGGGTCCATTGGGTCTCAGTTACACAGGATGAGAGCACTTTGCTCCTTCCCTTGCTGTCCCAATGTGTTTGTTTATCCCTTCCCTTGTTGTTCTTATATGAAATCTTCTGTAATCACTTGCTTAGTGATTTGGTTATGATTCCAGGCAGAACTCAATCTGTGTCTAGCATTGCCAGCACAGTCCCTGGCCTCTTTAGGCGCTTAATAAATTCTTGTTTGAATGTTGGACAAACTTGCCACTTCTGATTCTAATCATCTTTATTTTCACTTAACAGCTCCTAACTCTCTATAAACACCCGTAGGAAACTAACTACTCAGGTTGGCATCTGGCCCTAGATCCCTTTTTCTTATTTATCTAACCTTCACCGTCTTGTTTTTGTACAGAGATATCTGACAGAATGTAGTGGTTCTTAGTATTTTCAAATCTGATCTTTCCTTTAGGGGTTCATAGGACTTTAATTCATACTCAGAATCTCAGATGTAAGAGGGTAAGATCAAGCCAGGGAGGCACAGCCCTTTGCCCCTGTCCCCCATCACCAGCTTGTTTTACTCAACTGACTCACTTCTGGAAGCGCCCACCCCTACATCCCTTGGTGCTCACAGTCACCTGGGCTGGGACAATCTCCCAACATCATCAATCAGGCCAAGACTATTGCCTTCTTGAAATGCCTTAGTCCCTCCGGGGCCCAAGATCTGCTGGACCGGTGTTGCCAAACCTTTGACCCCCTCTCTCATCCCTCCAGGCTTCCTGTGCCTGACACCTCCTGTCACTACCCCAATGTCACCTCCTTTCTCTATCCAGACACAGACTCTTCCCCTTTCCCTCCCTCCTAAACTTTTCCACAAATGCCCTCTGGAAACTCGGAACCGTAGTGACCAAATTCCTTCTGGTTGCCAGGGGAACCAGTGGTGTGATTGCAGAGTTGAAACTTTCATTCCTCTCCTATCACCACCCGCACCGCCATGGAGAGGGGCTGGAGGTCAAGTAAGCCACCAGTGGCCAATGATTTGATCAATCATACCCATGTAATGAAACTTCCCTAAAAACCAAAAAGTACAAGGTTCAGAGAGCTTCCGGGTTGGTGAACACGTGGATATTCAGGGAAAGTATCAGAGAGCATGGAAGTCCTATGTCCCTTCCCACATATCTTACCCTATACATCTCTTCCATCTAGTAAGTAGAATGTTTCTCTGAGTCACTCTAGCAAATTAATCCAAATTAATCAAACCCAAGGAGGGGGTCATTGGAACTTCTCATTTTGAAGCCCAGGTGATAACTTGGATTTGAGATTGACATCGAAGGTGGAGGGTTGTCGGGGGCAGTACTGTAGGACCAAACCCTTAACCTATGGGATCTAATGCCATCTCCCGGTAAATAGTGTCAGAAGGTCCAATTTCATTCTTTTACATGTAGCTATCCAGCTGTTCCAGAACTATAAAAAGATAAATTTCTGTTGTTTAAGTCACCCAATCTGTGGTATTTTACTATAAAAGCACTGGAAAACTAATATACTTGTCTTGCTCCTGATCTTCAGAGAAATTTTTCAGTCTTTCACCACTGCGTATGTTGTTAACTATGGGTATTTCGTATATGTTGTCAGCAGCGTTGGATTCCCCTGAGGCCTCTCTCCTTGGCTTGCAGATGGCTGCCTTCTCACTGTGTCCTCACATAGTCTTTCCTCTGGTGTCTCTTTGTGTGTTTAAATGTCCTTATTATAAGGACTCTAGTAAGATTGAATTAAGACCTATCCTAATGGTCTCATTTTTACATAATCATTTATTTAAAGTCTCTATCTTCAAATACAGTCATATTCTCAGGCACTAGGGTTAAGGCTTCAATGTGTAAATTTTTTTGGGGGGGAGAGGGGCATAATTCAATCCATGACAATAAGGATGCCCACTTTTACTACTTCTATCCAACTCTATTAGAAGTTCCAGCCAGAGCAATTAGACAAGATAAACAAATAAAAGGCAAATTGGAAAGGAAGAAGTAAAATTATCTGTTTGCAGATGACATGATTTTATATGTAGAAAACTAATAATTCAAACAAACAAAGCTAAGAAGTGAATTCAGCAAAGTTGTAGGATACAAATTCAACCCACAAAGATCAGCTGCATTTTTCATACATTAACAATGAACAATTTCAATAGAAATTAGGAAAACAATACCATTAGCAATAGAATAAAAAAGAATAAAATACTTATGAATTAATTAAAGAGAAGAAATACTTTTACATAGAAAACTACAAAACACTGCTGAAAGAAATCTGTGTTCTTGTATTAGAAACTTAATGTTGTCAAGATGTCAGTACCCAAATCAATCTACAGATTCAGTGCAATCTCTATCAAAATACCAGTGATGTTTTTCACACAAATGAAAAAATCCATCCTAAAATTCATCTTGAGGGACCCCAAATAACTAAAACAATCTTGAAAAGAAGAATAAAGTTTGAGGAGTCACATTTCCTTCTTTCAAAAGTTACTATAAATGTATGATAATCAGAATAAAGACAGACACATAGACCAGTGGAATAAATTAGAGAGCTTAAAAATAAACCATTACATATATGGTCCCAAAATTAACTCAAAATAGATTTTAAAAAAAACAACTAATCATAAAGCTAAAACTATACAACTCTTAGAAGAGAATATAAGGGGAGAGCCTTATAACATCGGATTTGTCATTAATTTCTTGACTATGACACCAAAGACACAGACAACAAAATTAAAAATAGAGAAGTTGCACTTCACCAAAATTTAAAACTTTTAACATCAAAGAAATCTATCAATTCAGTGAAAACACAACTTCAGAATTAGAGAAATTATTTGCAAATAATATGCCTGATAAGGATTAACATCTGTAATATATCAAGAACTTCTACAACTCGACAACAGCAAAATACACAATCCAATAACAAATTGTGCAA